ACAGTCAGGGTACTTCCTCTCTCTTCTGTGTTTGGGCTTGATCAACCAGCAAATGGGAATTCCTTAAGGAATTTCCCAAATTGAGAGGAGCTGACCCCGCCATCTGGTACCCAAAAAAGATGCTCACTTGCTGGGACATAACACACAAGAACAAACAAGTCCCCAAGAGTGTCCGCACTGAAACAGTCGCAGCGCTTCCCTCTCAGTCAGTTGGGCTTGTTCCATCTACAAATGGAAATTCCTTTTAAAATTTCCCAAATTGGGAGGAGCAGATCCTGCTGTCTGGACCCACAAAGGACACTCACCTATCTGGGTGCCTAGCTAGAGTCTGAGGCTCTATCTAATCAACTGTAGCTGCAGTGGTGGGTCACAAAACATAGTCTGGTCGTTGGGATTCTTCCTTGCAGTGAGGATGGTCATGGTGAATGGGACCAATACTCCAAAAGATGTCTATCTCGGGGAACTATCACTCACTAAGAAGGGAGTGGGTGCCTGGAGACACTGGAAGCCTGTAGGTGCTATGCCTTATACCCATTGTCCCCTGAGACCACCCTCAGGATGGCAAGAACAGTGCCTCTCCACTCACCACGGTATCTCCAGCACCTGCACAACACCTGGGCCGCAGGAAGGATATGATCAATGGATGCTGAATAGATTCATTCTTTTTTTTCTTTTTCTTTTTCTTTTTTTGAGACGGAGTCTTGCTCTGTTGCCCAGGCTGGAGTGCAGTGGCAGGATCTCGGCTCACTGCAACCTCCACCTCCTGGGTTCAAGCAATTACCTGCCTCAGCCTCCCAAGTAGCTGGGACTACAGGCGCCCGCCACCACACCTGGCAAATTTTTTGCGTTTTTAGTAGAGACGGGGTTTCACCATGTTGCCCAGGCTGGTCTTGAACTCCTGACCTCAAGTGATCTGCCCACCTCAGCCTCCCAAAGTGTTGGGATTATAGGTGCCAGCCACCGTGCCCAGATTAATTATATTATTTAATCCTCCTACAACTATATAAAGTAAGTTATGTCATCTGCATCTTACAAATGAAAGAGACACATGGAGGTTAAGCAGTTTTTCTCCGGTTACATAGCTAGAGCTGGGGCTTGAACCTTCAAGATCAATCTAGCTCCAAATCCAGTGTTCTTTCCACTATTCATTCATTCATTCAACAAATGTTTATTGAGCACCTACTCTATGCCAGTCCTATTCCAGGAGGTAGAGATAGGACAGTAAACAGACACAAATCCTTTCCTTCAGGAAGCTTACTATCTAGGAGACAAAATTCCCATTTGATAAGAAAGATATATAGCATGTCAGAGTGATCATGCTAAGGAGAAACATAAGGAAATAAAAGACATAAGGACAGGGGATAGGAAGTACTGGGGAGGTTGCAATTTGAGACAAGGTGACCAAGAGGTCTCCCTGAGAAGATGCCATTTGAGAACATTCCTGAAGGAGGGAGGGAGGGAGTCATGTGGATCGGAAGCATTCCAGGCAGATGGAGCTGCGGGCCACTGGAGGGAGTCTGCACCTCCTAACTGGATCACTGGGGCCACTGGGTTGAGAACAGCCTGTGGTGGAAACATAGCAGAAGCTGGGAGACAGCCCCGCAGCCTCTGCGTTCTCCCCCAAGTACTCCCATTCGCCACCTTCTTGTGGGTCTGTGGGTGGTTCGTCCGCAACTTCCGCTCTGTGCCCACGGCTGCCTCCTCCTGCTGACCTTCACCGTCACCAGCCTGAATTACCCCAGCAACCTCTGTTTTGATAGAGTTCAACAGCCCTGTGAAAAGCCTGCCTTTCCACTTGACTCCAAGTTACTTGATAAGACCCAGAACTAGAATAGAGCCGTGCCCAATCAGTGTTTAAACCAACGAAGCTTTTAGGCTTTGTTTCTCCCATCCAAAAAGTTCCCTTCAAACCCCCAAGGGAAAGGGAAAAAGAAGGAAAATTTCATGGGTCCCCTGCTGCAGCTCTGCCTGGGACAGCTGGCCCATGGGTCTGACTGGGACTGGACCCTCCTGGGGACCAGGATGGGTAAATAAATGTCAGATGTGTACAAGAGGAATCTGCAGCCAGCAAGCCCTATTGGGCCTCTGGCTCCCCTGCTCCTCTGAGTCAAGCCCCTTTATTATAAAGGGAATACCTTTATAATGCTTTGCAAAGTGACAGGATGAACACCTGCAATAGCACACCACTGTTCTGCCCAACCATCCTCCTGATCCAGCCTGCCCTGAACTTTCTCTGAGGGGAAGGACATCTAGAGCCATGCCATCCAGTAAGGACACAGCCACATGACAGATGTGGTGCCTGGGCATTTGCAATGTGGCTGGGATAAATGAGATGCACTGTAAGTGTAAAATAATACCCACAGATTTTCAAGACTTTTTTCATGCCTGTAATCTCAGCACTTTGGGAAGCCGAGGCAGGAGGATCGCTTGAACCCAGGAGTTTGAGAACAGCCTGGACAACACAGCGAGACCCCCATCTCTATTTTTAAAAATAAAAATAAAATACCTTGTACAAAATAAAACTGTAAAATAGCTCATCAATAACATATATTAAAATGTGTTTTGCAATTAAAATATATTAATTTCAATGTATTAATCGTATGAGTTTCTTTTTCATTTTTGAATGCAGCTATTAGAAATGTTTAAATTATATCTGTGGCTCACACTATATTTCTTTTTCTCCCCCCACCCCACCGAGATGGAGTCTTGCTCTGTCACCCAGGTTGGAGTGCAGTGTCATAATCTCGCCCCACTGCAACCTCTGCCTCCTGGGTTCAAGCGATTCTCCTGCCTCAGCCTCCTGAGTAGCTGGGACTACAGGCACCCACCACCATGCCTGGCTAATTTTTGTGTTTTTAGCAGAGACAGGGTTTCACCATGTTGGCCAGGCTGGTCTTGAACTCCTGACCTCGTGATCCACCCACCTCAGCCTCCCAAAGTGCTGGGATTACAGGCGTGAGCCACTGTGCCCGGCAGCTCAGGCTATATTTCTAGTGGACAGGGCTGTTCTAGAATTATGACTGGCCTCCAGTCACCTCCACGGAACAAAGCAAAGAGATGGCAAAAGCGGGCTAAGTACAATTATTTTGTGAACTGATAATGACAAGACAAGTGTGATCTTGTTTTTCTTTTCTAGTTCACACACATGAGGAGAAAACAGCAAGAGACACCACAGGGGCTGGTCCAGGAGATGAGGGACAGCCTACACCAGCTCCAGTCAGCCTGCCTTTCACCAGTCCGGAGGGTGGTGTGTGTGTGTGTGGTGCCAGATTTGCCTATTAGAAGCTCCGACTGTGTCCCTGTTAAACTTCAGAACCCTTCATGGGCCCCTTACACAGTCCAAGTGCCTCACTATGGGCCTTCAAGACCCTGAACAACCTGAGCCAAACTTGTCTTTCCAGCTTCATCTCACATGCTTCCTGCTCAAAACCCCCACAGCTGTCAGTTCACGCTTTCATTTAGTCTGCTAATCAGTCATTCAACAAATATGTATTGATTATTTCCTACATACTAGCTACTGAGGTCATGATGATTAGTAAAAGACACACTGTCCCTGTACTTACTGGGGACCACACATCTAGCAGGGGATGACAGGTAAATGCATAATAGGCAGTTAAGCACATTGCAGTAAGAGTAGTAGTTGGGGCCGGGCGCGGTGGCTCAAGCTTGTAATCCCAGCACTTTGGGAGGCCGAGGCGGGCGGATCACGAGGTCAGGAGATCGAGACCATCCTGGCTAACATGTTGAAACCCCGTCTCTACTAAAAATACAAGAAAATTAGCCGGGCGAGGTGGCGGGCGCCTGTAGTCCCAGCTACTCGGGAGGCTGAGGCAGGAGAATGGCGTGAACCCGGGAGGCGGAGCTTGCAGTGAGCCGAGATCGCGCCACTGCACTCCAGCCTGGGGCACAGAGCAAGACTCCGTCTCAAAAAAAAAAAAAAAAAAAGAGTAGTAGTTGGGGAAGCACAGGGACCATGGGTGCACGCAAGAGGCACCTAAACCAGCCTGCAAATCAGGGAGGGCTTCCTGGAGGAGGTGGCATCTCAGTTGAAGAATGCAAGTCGGTCAGACTGAGGCTGGGGAGTGGCGAATATCCCAGGCAAGAGAGAACTCTTGAGTTCAAAAACTGGAAGGCCAGAGAGGAGGGCAGGGTGCCAGTGGCAAATGACTGACCTGGTGCATGTGGCAGAGGCTTTATGAGCCTTGTGAAGGAGTGTGGCATTTATTCTGAAGTGTTTATTCTGGGAGCTCCTGTCTCCCACCTGAAAGGCCTTCACCCCTCCTCCCTGTTCACTCAAATCCTGCTTCCCCAGTAGGATCCAGTCTGTGGGGCAAGTCAGGCGTTGGAGGGAGAATGAGCGAAGGGCTTTTGGAGGCTCCAGCCTAGGGCCAAGGAATGGAGGTACTGGGGCTGTGTTTGCGGTCTGCTGGTGTTGGAATCTGGGACTAAAGCTGGGTTTGAGGCTGGCGTTGAGTTTGGGGGCTGGATTCAGGAACAGGAGTCGAGGTTCGGGCTGAGCATGAGGTTGGGATCTAGGACCTTAGTCCAGAATTTGAGTTGGAGTTAGGAGTTGGGAGCTGAGATTTCTAGCCGGATTTGAGGTTGGATTTGGAGTTGGAACTGGAATTGAATTTGGAAATGGGGCTGGGGGTTGGGGCTGAGATGTGTGGCAGGAGCTGGGGCAGGGGTGGAAGCTGGGAGTTCTAGCTAGGGTTTGCAGCTGCAGCTGGAGTTGGGGGGTGGTTTTGAAGCTGGAGCTAAAGTTAAATCAGGTGGGAGCTGGGGAACGGGTTGGCGCCCAGACTCTGGGGCAGATAGACAACATTCCTCCTGCTGCCCAGGTCGGCGAATTGTGTTCCCAGCCTTCACAGCAGCAGACAGAAGCGCCTCCCTTCCCAGGAATGCCTCTGCCCAGCAGAAGGAGCAGTGCCACGTCAGCCAATCGGCTCAGGCCCTGCCCTGGAAACGACACCTGTTCATCCTCCTCCCCGCAGGCTCACCTGAGTGCAGGTTAGGCAGGTGAAGTGTCTCCCCGGAAACCGAGCTAGAGTGCCCCACCTGCTCAGCCCTGCCTTCTCGGATGGGATCCAGCACGTCCAGGCTTCTCGTGAGTTACCCATTGTCCCCCCACACCCCACCACCCCTACGTTCTCCCACTCGCTTTTCCCCTGAGAACCTCCACCCTGCCCCCAGCCTGGCCCCCGCTGTCTCAGCACACCTCTGCAAGCACTTTCAGACCAGTGAAGTCACAGCCCAGGGGAATGCTGGGACAGACTCCACGGCCACGCCCACCTCCCCCACTTCCTTGGAGGCATTGGCACCAGCCCCTGCCCACCTGGGGGGTAGGGGTCAGCCTCTGCAGAGGAGTCTCCGGGAGGACAGATACCTTGTCAGGATGTAACCTGTGTACGGCCACATAGTAATATTCCCAGAATGACCCAGGACCTACATCTTCTGCCCTGTTCTGCTTTGGAGGGGTAACATCATTTTCATGTATTCAAAAAGCACGCTTTGAGCATCTGTGCAGGCTCTAGGCCCCGTTGGAAATCTGAAACGAAGATGTCAGGTGGCTCATCCCCACCCCTCAAGATAAATGTTATTGTCCTCACTTTTCAGATAAGGAGACTGAGGCTGTAAGAGATGAACCACTCAGGCTTCCTGGCGCCTCCCCTAGACCCCTCTCCTGGGCTCTGCAGTGCTCTGGACTGACGAACCCCCACCCACACGTAGCACAGGCATCAGCCTGCTTGCTTCTGTCTCTGTCTCCTGCTGCAGACTGGGGCTCCTTGAGGGCAGGGACCTCATGTGCTTTATTTTTGCCCAGTGTGAGACATGCTGTCCTCTGGAAGACACGTTAAATCAGCAACCACTGTTAGGTGCCTGGCCATGCTCCTACCGGGGGGAAGGACTGGAGCTGGGGTTCAAATCCAGAGCCCTCTTTTTTCCTTTGCTCCACTTAAGAGAAATCGTGGAGGAGGATGGCATGAGGGAATGGCGAGTGTGGAGAAGAGCAAGGGGAGCAGAAAGACCAGTGAGGAGGTGGAGGTGGGAGCTGTGAATACAAGAGCAGGGAACTGGCTAAAGAAGTGTTTAGAGGTGGAGCCCTGGGGACAGGATGTGGATTAGATACTGCAGAGGGAGGAGGAGCTGGCCGAGAGGGCGGTGATGGCATGCCTGAAGGGAGGAACGCAGGAGGAGCAGGTTGGAGTAAGATAACGAGCTTGGGTTGGGACCTGTTGCATCACAGGGACATCAAAGTGACAAGTGACTCAGGAGGGAGATGTAGGTTGGAGAGAGGAATGTGGGAACCGGCAGCTTATAACACCAAACTCATGGCTGTGGGATTGGATGGGATGTTAGGGGAGGGAGGGTGTTAGGGGTCTGGTCCTAACCCACAGAGGAGGAGGAGACACAGCCCTAAAAGAGAAGTATCGGGCCGGGCGCAGTGGCTCAAGCCTGTAATCCCAGCACTTTGAGAGGCCGAGACGGGCGGATTACGAGGTCAGGAGATCGAGACCATCCTGGCTAACATGGTGAAACCCTGTCTCTACTAAAAAAAAATACAAAAAAAAACTAGCCAGGCGCGGTGGCGGGCGCCTGTAGTCCCAGCTACTCAGGAGGCTGAGGCAGGAGAATGGCGTAAACCCGGGAGGCAGAACTTGCAGTGAGCTAAAGTCCGGCCACTGCGCTCCAGCCTGGGTGACAGAGCGAGACTCCATCTCAAAAAAAAAAAAAAAAAAAAAAAAAAAAAGTATCAAGGTCAGTCAGGCTTCTGGTTCCAGAAGGGTTAAGTCATAAGCACCCCCTCCATCCCCACAGCTCCCCCCCAGGAACCAGTGGTGACAGCTGAGGCCATGTGAGTAGGATCCTGAATGAGGCTTTATCTCTGGCTGTTCGTCCCATCGTCCACCGTGGCACCAGCTCCCTCAGCCAGCCGGGATGGGACCAGCGACTGAGAGAACCAGAGGCAGAGAGGTCAGGGCCTGGGTGAGGGGATTCCCTGGAGGGTTTTGGGGGGTACTGTATGGGCAGGATACTCTCCTGGGTTCATTGGAGAGCCATTTCCAAGGGACAGTGCTGCAGAGGGGGCTTTCCCAGGGGAGATTTGGGAGGACACGGGGGTGGACTCTCAGGGGTCATCCCCAAGGCTCCCCAGGTGGGACCATGGGGGACAGGTGGGCTGGGAAGGTAAGACTGTGATTCTTCCCCTACAGGTGAGGGTGACTATATCCTGGACTGTGAGAGGAATGGGACTCTGGGCCTGTAGCTGCCAAGCAGGTGGCGGGTGCTCCAGGCTGTGATCTGCACCCTCTGACCCCTGACGTTGACCTACCCTGACCCCTGCCTGACCAAGCCATGTCTGAACAGGAGGCTCAAGCCCCAAGGGGCCGGGGGCTGCCCCCAGACATGCTGGCAGAGCAGGTGGAGCTGTGGTGGTCCCAGCAGCCACGGCGCTCAGCGCTCTGCTTTGTCGTGGCGGTGGGCCTCGTGGCAGGCTGTGGCGCGGGCGGCGTGGCACTGCTGTCAACCACCAGCAGCCGCTCAGGTGAATGGCGGCTAGCAACAGGCACTGTGCTCTGTCTGCTGGCTCTGCTGGTTCTGGTGAAACAGCTGATGAGCTCGGCCGTGCAGGACATGAACTGCATCCGCCAGGCCCACCATGTGGCCCTCCTGCGCAGTGGTGGAGGGGCCGATGCCCTCGTGGTGCTGCTCAGTGGCCTCATGCTGCTGGTGACCGGCCTGACCCTGGCTGGGCTGGCCGCCGCCCCTGCCCCTGCTAGGCCGCTGGCCGCCATGCTGTCTGTGGGCATTGCTCTGGCTGCCTTTGGCTCACTTTTGCTGCTGGGCCTGCTGCTGTATCAAGTGGGCGTGAGCGGACACTGCCCCTCCATCTGTATGCCCACCTCCTCCACCCACAGTGGCCATGGCGGCCATGGCAGCATCTTCAGCATCTCAGGACAGTTGTCTGCTGGCCGGCGTCACGAGACCACATCCAGCATTGCCAGCCTCATCTGATGGAGCCAGAGCCCTTCTTCCCACACCGGCCTCAGTGTCCCCAGAGCCGAGCCAGGGTGTGAGTGCATGTGGACGCTGAGTATACATGAGTGCGTGTATGCCCCCAGGCTGGGTCAGCTCTTCTGTGGATTGCAGAAGAGTGGTGCAATGTGATGAACAGCCCATGTGAAGTTCCCACACATCCACATCATGGGAAGGTTAATGCGTGCCTCCTTGGAACTGGGTGTTTGTGTCCATGGAACTTCCTGTCTGTATCTCAGGTCAGTAGACTCAGAAACGCCTCATGATGAAGACTCTTGAGCCCCATTTCCAAAACCCCTCAAATCCAATCCTGTCCTGTAACATCCATCAAAGATTTCCATAGGGGTGACTGGTGTCCACCCAAGACTGCACCAGTGCCTGCTCATTGAGGAGAGTAACTGCTGCCAGGCAGAAAGAATATGGGCTCTGCAATGAGACAGACCTGGCAGGGATTTCCCCGTTGAGCACTAGCAGCTGGAGGAGTTGGGAGTTCGTGGCTATCATGGTTGTGTTCATCGATTGTGGGGATGAAATGTCATTGTGCATGGAAGGCGGGGCTCGTGGCTGATGTGCAATAAAATGGCGGCTGCCGTTGTCATTGTCTCCATCTCAGGATCTCACCTCAGAGACCCTTCCTCCCCTACCCCAAGCCCCGCCCCATCCAAAACGAACTCCTCACTCCTATCTCAGCCTCATAAACGGTGCCTTGAGGGTGTCCTCAGTCAGGCCTGTAGTTTCTCCTGTTAGGTAGGGAGAGGACGGACTGGATGCCAGCCTTGGGAAGGTGGTTGGTTTCCAGTCCCAGGGAGAGGTGAGGGACCTGAGTCCTTCGCATTTGCTCACATGCTGGTTCAGGATGAGGCCTTACGTGTTTGGTGTTATCAGCTGGTTTCTCTGGCAACTGCACCTCCCGTTGGCTGTGCCTCAGCGGATTCCCTGAGGGCGACTGGGAGGCTGCAGCTCCCTACCCCACCTCTGAAACCAGAATATCCCGCGTCTGGGCAGTGGCTGCGCCAGCTGGCCTGCTCTAGGTTCCTGGGCATGGGAGAGGTGTTTCAAACCCCCTAGGGTGGTGAGAGTCACTTCCTGCTTGGAGTCAGCCCTGGGAGGATCCCCCCCCTGTAGCATGCAGTGCCATTTCCTGGGTGATGGAGATCCACGGGAAGCAGCACTCAGGTGTTTCATCACTTCCTGCTTCTCGAGGTGCAGACTGCATGAAGCCCGTGGAAGATGCCCAGAGAGGCAGGTCAAAGAGATGTTACAGTACAGAGGCTCTGACAACAAAAAGTTGACTTTCAGCGGGCAACGTCAAGGATGTCTCCTGGAGAAAACACCGGGCTGACAGATAAGGGGAAGAGTGTTGCCAATGGAGGGAGGGAACAGTGTGAACAGACCCGGGAGAGAAAGACAAGGCGTGTCCCAGAACTCCAAGGACAACAGAAACGGCTCCCCTGGGTGCTCCAGGGGTGCCTCATATCCACCATATTCCAAACTGACCCTGCTCCTCTCATCTTGAACGAGCTCCTCTCTCTCACCCAGAAGTGCCATGCTCAGGGGGCTTCTAGGTTAGAGACTCGGTGCAGTGCTAGATGGCACCGTCACTGTCTCCTCACCCAAGTCCAGTGACAAATCACCAACTCCTCTGGTTTCCCTCACACAGATTTGTCTGGCAAGCCATATCTTCATGCTCACTGCCCAGAAGGGACCCTCTTCATCCCTGCCTGAGTGGCACATCAGCCTCCTTCTCTCCCCCTGCTTCTGCTCTTTTCTCCTCTTCATTCCCCTTCCCCCGGCCATGCACATGCACATCCCTTGAGCCAGAGTGATCATCCTAAAGCTAAAATGAAAATGTGCCTCAGAGCCTGTCTGTGGCTGCCCACCCCTTCCAGGCTCCCTAACCTGGTTTGGTCCCACTCAGAAAACCCCATGAGCAGCCCCACTGAGCTATTTCCACCAACTCCCCAGGCCCTCTCATTTGTGCCAGCCTTTACATGTTCTGTGCTCTTTGCCTTCTCGTCCTTCAAGATCCAGTTCTCCAGGGATCTTCCTTGGCCCTTAGACCAGTGAGTTTCCCTCTTTCTATGCCCACAGCACCCTCCATTGTAGACCCATCTGCAATTATTTCTTTTTGTGCCTGTCTCCTTGATCAGGTGAGCTCGTCCTAACCAGACTGGCATTGTGCTCATCTGCTCATATGCTTATCCCTTGCTCCCAGCATAGGCCTGACACAGAGTAGGTTCTTTTTTTTTTTTTTTTTTTTGAGACAGAGTCTCCCTCTGTTGCCCAGGCTGGAGTGCAGCGGCAAGATCTTGGCTCACTGCAACCTCTGCCTCCCGGGTTCAAGTGATTCTGCTGCCTCAGCCTCCTGAGTAGCTGGGATTACAGGCGTGTGCCAGCACACCTGGCTAATTATTGTATTTTTAGTAGAGACGAGGTTTCACCATGTTGGTCAGGCTGGTCTTGAACTCCTGACCTCATGATCCGCCCACCTCGGCCTCCCCAAATGCTGGGATTATAGGCGTGAGCCACCGCGCCCAGCCGACACAGAGTAGGTTCTTTATTGGGTGGATGAAGGACTCCGGCATGGCCAGATGGCAATGTGTGTGCAAGGAGCAAGGAGAGACCCACCTATAACTGGGACGGGATAGGGAAAGTAGGCCACTGCCCCTGTTGTCCCTGAATCTGTCCCTCCCAAAGCCCCATGCTCTCTACCACAGTTCTCACTCTTCCTGAGTTGCCAAGAGCAATCGATCGCTATGACCCACTCCTGGCCTGATATGGGACTACAAAATGTCCTGCTTTCCTGTAATATGGGGAGAAATACCCTTTCCTTTCATCTGAGACAGAGTTAGACTTTTGCGATTCTCACATTATTTCTTTTTTTTTTCTTTGAGATCGAGTCTCCATGAGTCACCCAGGCTGGACTGCAGTGACGTGATCTCTGCTCACTGCAACCTCTGCCTTGCAGGTTCTTGTGCCTCACCCTCCTGGGTAGCTGGGATTACAGGCGCATGCCACCTTGCCCAGTTATTTACAATATTTATTTTAAGAAACTAAAGAAAAAGCAGAAGCACAGAGGCTCAGAAAATGGGGAAAGAGGGGGTTACCTGGCATAAGCATCTGACTGAGCAGCTGCCGTGGGCGAGTCCAGCACCAGGCTCTCCCGGGAAGGACGGGAGATGGAGACTAGGGCTCATGGCCCCAGAGGACTGATCCCATAGGGTAATGGACAGCCAGCTATAACAGGAGACAGGTGATGGTACGAGCTATGTGAGGCACGGGCAGGGCAGAAATGTGTCTACCTCCTCAATCACTAACGTAGGCTTCCCACAACCTCTTGCCTTCAGCCTGCTCAAGTCATTTCGCTAAATACTTTCTCCGCCTCCATTGCAACCAGAAGCTCACTGGCATCTCCGTTCTCCCTCTGTAAAGCTGCTTCCTCCTGACTTCACTGCCCTCTCCTGTCCACC